ATTAGTACTAATTAGTTTTAAATAAATTGCTGTTTAGGAGAAATCGGTATTGCACAGTCACTCGAAAGCCTCAGTTTGTACTTCTGAACGATAAGGCTTTCACAAAATAAGGCCAATTGTCTGCTCACTCATTGGAGCTTTGAATCTCATGCTCCTGATACCTTCCACGCAACCCGATCAATTTAAATCACGAAAGAACCAAATCAAAGTTGACCTCACTGAGCACAAATTACTAGACGTTCTTTTTAACACAAATAATTGCAATTAAATTAATCCACGCCATGCAATTTAACTTTATTAAAAATTATATGTATTGAATTTGGGGCGTGCGATAGACTTAGCTCCACGTGGTGCACACTGGGCAACGTATACTCATACGGCAAAACAGTCTATTAACCGGCAGTTGACTTTAAATTACCATCACCCCAATGTATGACTTATTCGACCACTTCCACAGTACTACATCACATTTTTCAAAATTTTCAATCTTCGTCTTTGAAACACTCTTCAGTTCCCCTCCTCTCGACTTTTTTTCGCTTTGATGTTCCTTCCCCTCTGTGAAGCCTGAAGTCAACTAAAGGGCTAATGATAACCATCAAAACGCCTGCCATTTGATATAAATAAATAAATAAATATGCATTGAATTTTTTCTAATATTTTAGATGAAAATTATGAAATTATTATATAAACTTTAAAATTTATTCTTTCATAAACTAACAAACCTCAAGGGTAATTTCATGCAAAAGTATTGGCATTTTGTCCAATCGATTGTTTGTTTTAATCATTCTCTGTTTGCGGGTGATTTCAAACCAATCCCACGTGACTACGTATTGAGATGGCAATCCATAGAAATTTGCTATTTGCACTCTGCAGTGCAGTCTCATGCCTGATGCCTTTCTGGGCATTTCAAGACGATTTGCTCAATGAGAGCTTCTTCCTCAACAACTTCATTCGTCACGGCTACTCAGGAACGGACATCAGTGGTGGGGTTGGCGCTGCCTCGTTCATCATCGCTCTGGTCATCACGGCCTCCCTCAGACTCAAATTTGTTACACAACTCAAGGTTCTTTTTATTCAATTTGAAGTAGCTTTGCTTTCCTCCGTCTGTTTGCATATCTTCTATTACACTGAAAGCGAAAGCAAAATTATTTACATCATTATACTTCTTGTGATTTCCGCACGCTATCTATTTGAAAATATAAAAATGTTTTTCTTTTGAAATATACCATACTATTTCTGGACTGCATGATTTTACCATTTTTGTCGCAAGTGTTCTAATGAAATATTAAGTTTCTTATCCCGACATGTCAGAAATGACTGATGGCGCGTATCTGGTGCCGAAATAGTATTAGCTTAATCGGTGTTTGTCACGGGGGGTTGACCGTTTGACCATTTGACCGTTCTCCTGACCCCAAAAGGTCGATTGTGTGCCATATGCGTAAATCAGCTTTGACCTGATCTCATTTTGCCGATCCTGTAGTAACAATTTGATAAGTTCAAATTAAGAGATAAATCACCGCCATGGTCACACACACACACACACACACACACACACACGGCTGCATTGTGAGAACCTCGAAATCTGCCGATTCCTAGTGTTGACCAGAGCGTAGGTGGCGAATCTTTTCACCGAGTTTTTTTGACGATTTTGAAGAGCAAAAATTTCATCCACTGCGCACAGACAGCAGGATAGTCAAGTTTTGGGGTTTGGGGAAATTTGAACAACCCCCACTCGCATCTCAGCACTAAGTGGATTGGGCAAGCAGAAAGACTTCACGATTGTGCAACCAACTTTTGACATCTCGAAGTAGAGGCTAAGGTGAACGAATGTTTAAGAGACTTCACAAAATCTTCAGTAGACTTTGTCTGTCGATAAACTCAACTGTTGAATATCCGTTGAGAGCTGAATCGCATGATCACGAAAGGAAAAAATATATATTTTTGCAAAAAACTATTAATTCGGTGATGTCATTTGCACTTGTGAATGCGAAGAAAGTCACAAATTTCCCCAATGCCTGACAGCAAAACCTACAACAATAATCATGATAATCATACTATTCAGTAACTTTCTAAATGCACCACGCACCCACGATAAGTGAGGAGGTGTGTGATAGACTTATCTCCAAGTGGTGCACCCTGGGCAACGTATTTTCATACGGCAAAAAATGTCTATTGATCGGCAGTTGATTACTCACTTTAAACTACCATGACCCAACGGTAAGTCATACTCCACCACTTCCACAGTACTCACTTCACCTTTTTTCTACCTTTGTGTCTGTCTCTTTTACATCATTGAAACACTCTTCTGTTCCCCTCTCCCTCTCGACTTGTTTTAATTTGGTGTTCCTTCCCCTCTGTGAAACCTGAAGTCAACTAAAAGGCTAATAATAACTTTCACAACGCCTGCCACTTGATATAAATAAAATAAGTGATAAGTGAGCAAAATCACTACTTCTCTTTCCATGTTTAATAAGTTGAGTTTTGTATTCAAAGCGCGCTCACCGTGCATCGATCCATCAACTCAACGAAAGCCCACGAAAATTTCATTTAGCGGAAACAATTTCTGAGTCACACTTCCAGCCCAGTGGGAGACACTCACCTCTTTCTGACGGGAGACCTTTGAATGGGAAAAGAGTTGGCCAGCCCTAATGACCTTGAATTTGACTTTATTCATCCAGGCAGACAGATAGAGTGAACACTTTTGCCATGGCAACAGAAAGATGTCAAATCAGGTTGGCGGTTTAGTTTGGCGTGCAAATATTGCAATAACGACAACAACAATCAACATGAGATTGCGATTAAGGTTCACACAGAGACTCAGGTAACAACAATGATGGCCTTAGAGTGGTTTCACGACCCTGCCTGACAAATGCGTCATTCCAAAATATTGGAAACCATTCTCATTTGTACTAGAAGTTATGACTAAGGAGTTAAGCGATGTCAAAACGCGCAAGACGAAAGGGCGAACTCGTAGAGCAACTAAATAGGAGTCAATTGAAGAGCGGAGTAGGAGGGGAGCCTTGGATCTTTAGCCTTGGTAGTTAATTCAATCTCGCAAATATTTATTTGTTTAAATATCGTGTTCTAAGTAGCTCAAAATCTAAATATCTGAAGCATAGTCAAAAGGAAACTGAGTCGTTGGGATACCAGAACCTTCAATAAACTGCATTGAAATTCTACCATTGAAATTTGCAGTTGTATTTCAGAAACACCAGGCTAACATTTGGTTTGTTATGGCAAAAGCAGGCAGCCATGTCCATTTCCTACTTCAAAAGAATAATTCGGCAGCACTATGGAATTCGACCTGAAGCGTTGAAGTGCGCGGCTGCCAATTAAATGTCAATCTTCCAGGAGGAGGAACCAATGCCTTTGAACTATCGACAAGAGTTTTGCTCCTTAGGGGGACAATGATCAATATGGTCTTCTGGTGCCTGAAGTAACCTTGGCTAAACCTTTAATTTCAGCCTTCTTAAAACCACCTTGAAGAAGTAACAATTCTTCCATGGTTACAAGAGAATAAAGTTACCTAATTGACTCATTTCACGAATTTCAACAACCAGTGACAGGTCATTACGTGGTTGTTCAAGCTGTCTTCCTCCTTTTCCGTTGTCTTCTCTACTGTGATATCTGTCTGAAGTTAAGGGGAATCGGAGGGAGAGAGCTTCGAGAACAAAGACATCCAAATAACCCTCAGAGTTAAATTATGTTAAAAGTGATATATTTACCATAAAAATATAAGAAATTCAACGGTTATATACATAGACATTAGGAGGGTAGAGCAGGTAATGTATTTCTCCCAGAAACTTCACAGTCTCCAAGCTCGACACTTGGTTGCTTTCGTGAGAATCGTCCTAATCGAGAAATTGAACCAAAGAGGGGGGGGGAGTGTAGCGGATTGCTACGCTAGTTAAAGCCTGGCCGACTCAGAGATCTCTGTGGCAGATTCTCATACATCTAGCTAGACTCCCAGAACCAGCTAAGCTATAGCCCAGCTATGAAAGGAAACAGACGTGTAGCACGGAGCACGTTTACTCAGTACGTATATTGCGGATCAAGTGTGTACACGCAGGGAGCTACTCATGATCAGGATTGGGGATTAGGTTAAACAGAGGTTGATGATTGGTCACTGTTTGTACGGTCGCTGCACACAGAGTTGTACGGCCGCACCTCCCAATCCTGGCGAGCAGACATGCAGGCATACGATGACGCACAAAGCGATAAC